TGTGGATGAAGAGCGGAAAAAGGTGTGCGCATGGAAGATTTGTCGGCTCGTAAAGTGGCCACCACAAGATGCAATAACATCCATTGCCATATCACAGGCTCAAGATGCACTTGAGAGTGCCAAGAAGAACCTTCAGAACCAACTGGCAGAAGAGAAGGAGAAGTATGGGGCCAGGATCAAATCCCTCCTCGAGAAAAACAAGTCACAGGTAAGCTTGCCTCTACTTTCCCAGATAATGCCAAAAAATGAGGCAGATCAGCTTACAGCTGTCTTAATAGGTGTCAGGGCTTGAAGAGTTTCATCGTGCATCATTCGCCTCGTTTGTGGAAGAGACTGAAATCAAGTTGAGGCTTAAAGAGGAAGAGTGTCTGGCTGCTATTGATAAGGTGAGCTGGCTGTGCATTGATGAACTGACTTCAAGCATCTAATGCTATCCTCTGCAGGTTGAGTCAAAGCTTCAATCGACAGAGGATTTGATTACGAGATTAAAGCTCCAGCATAGCGAAGTGATGGTGACTGCAAGAGCGTTGATGGAGCAACAACATGCTGAGGTAAGCACACGTACTCTTGTGCTCACAAAGCGCACCAATATAAACCTTCTAACACTGGTTTCCATGTCAAGGCCATTGCATCATTGACGGAGGAGCTGGAAGGGAGGATTGAGCTGGCCAAGACAGAACGTGAGGAAGCCCTTACCGTTCAGTTAGAAGAAATGACACGTCAATCCACTGAGGTCAGTGTACTCGCTTGCCTGCTTATGAATGAGTATTTTGGCAAGTTTCCAGGTCCATAACAGTTCGTGTTAATGCAGCTCAAAGAAAAGTTGACATCTATGGATCGGGAGTACCAAGAGCTACAGGAGGTACATAGGATTGATATGGACAAGCTGAAGGAAATTAATGACCTGCGACACTCAGAGGTAAGCCTCTTGTTTTTGCTGCATTTGCATATAATATTTTTGTAATCTTATGTGGCAATATTTAATTTGCAGCTACAATCGAGGCTTCGAGGGATGGAAAAGAAGTGCAAGCAGCAGCAGGAAAACCATGAAGGCATGCTGCGCAATTTGCACGACGAGCTGGAGCGGTGCTTGGCAGAGGTAACGTAGCAAAACAACCTTGAAATAGTTCTCGAGAAAAAAAAGAAAAGAAAAAAAAAGCATCTTACTGAGATTACATGTTGACTTGCTGCAGGCACAGGAGAAACTGGAGAAGGCTGAAAAGAAATGCATGCGACTTGAGGAGGAAAGCAGGGCCCGTGAATCTCAACTCAAGGAGAGTTACGAGCAACAAATTGAGGAGGTGAGTCAAACAGCAAAAATCAAGTTGATGTGCTCATTTTGCAGCACACCGAGCTAACCAATGTATTGCACCTGTGACAGTTGCGACAGAGTGAGATGAGATTGGAAGAGGAATGCGCAACAACAAGAGTTGAGGCGGAGGGTCATATCAGCAAACTAAAGATGGAACACGAGAACATGCTGAACAAGATCAACATGGAGCATGAGGACAGTCTTCGAAAGACTCAAATGGAGCACGAGAACGTCATTAAGAAGAAAGATCTGGAGCACGACAGCATCCTTAAAGCTATGAAGCTAGATCATGAGAACGCATTGAAAACTCAGCGGATGGGCTTTGACAGTTCTTTGAGGAAGAGGAAGCTAGAACAAGAATCCTCTTTTAAGTCACAACGTGACAGCCTGACAGAGGAAACGGTAAGACGTTTAAACTCTTTGAAATGCGCCATCAGCCCTTTGTCTTAATCAATTATCCGAGTTAGTGCAGGCCAAATCAGGTGAAGCCAAGGACGCCATGGAAACGAAGGATGTGGAATCAGGCAAAAGTCAAGCGGCACTGCATCTGGAAAAGGTAGAAATGGAATGAGCAGAACGTCTGGGACTTGAGCTTCATGAGTATTGACTTATCCAGTATGTCGGTTGTGCACAGAAGTTGGAAGACTCCATTCCTGCGTCCAATGGAGCAGCTGAAACACAAAATCTTACTGCATCGAAGACACTGAAGTCACGGGTGGGTTGTCCACGCTTTTGCCTATGACGTTTTCAGGGCGAGCATTCTCTTACAAACTCTGAATCTACAGAAAAAACTTTCGGGGAAGAAGTTGAGGCTCCAACCAGCATCATCTACACAACAGCAGGATCTTGCTTTGGACGCAAAAGCTGCTACTTCCAAACAGGCAAGTACCCTTCAGCACTGCTTTACCTTTGGTGAAGAGAGAATCTTGACCAGCAATTGAATGCTTTGGTTTGCTGCAGTTGGATTTCGTCACCAAAGCTACATCTACGTTTTCCAAGAAGAAGAAGCTGAAGCACATGGTAATACATCTCTTATTATGACGGTTCTGCTATTTCCAATTCATCTCCTGACAGAATCTTACATTACAGGAAGCCGAGTACAAGCCTAATGATTCCAAGGTGGACTTCACTAAGGTTTGTTCAAACTCCACCTTTCCATGCTTGCTTATATGTTTATGCTTTGAAACATACGTAGTTGACCACTCCACAGGTTACGACTGGATACAACGCTGACTGGCAAGTTTCCGAAGTTAATGTGGATGACCCCTACGCCTTCTGATTTAGATCCAGAGATGGTAGCTTTGGCACCATTGCTTACAAGCTCATGCTTAATTTCATGCTTCAAGTGTCATTTAGACCCGTGTTTATATATTTTTCACTTCTACTACATCTGATACATTTAGCAGCAGTTTGTTCTGCATGGTTGAAACTTGCTGTTGAAAGCATTGACAACAACATAGGCATATTAAAATTCCATTGTCGACTATGAAGGGTGCTCACCTGCCGCCCTTGATGGGCATAAAGCGTCGCTTGCCAGCTTCGTAGCCAGCACCCATGGAGCTGAACCTCGTCTCCCGACGTGCGTAACGCCACTGCCTGGTTTTGCCCTGACTGACCGCCACAGCCTGGCCTCGATTGGTTGACGATGACAATGTTAACCATGATAATGCCTGAAGCCTCCACCTGGGAACATTGGGAAATGGGCAATGATTGGCATAACTAGAGACTCAAAAGTTGGCAGTGCTTGAACTCAGCAATCTCTCACCAGAACTGTCGCACAATTGTACGTGTTGTATACAAGAGTCGTACGATCGCCTAAGGCGCACAGCGCATGCGGAGGTCGAGCCTTTCCGTTGAATGCGTCGAAACAGATTATTGTTGACCATGAAGGCCCAGTTCCGATAAATCTTATGCATTTCTTGGACGATGGAACTAGAACCTGACGGGAATGGTCACACACGGGGGCAAAAGCAATGTTAAGCTTAGCGGCTCACTGGATAACGCTTGAAACGTCAAAAACAGCAGTATCCTGCAATCTGGCAAATCTATAATCAAAATACGTTGCTTATGGTTCGCGGACCTGTTCGAAGTAAGTGCCTGGGTCGATCTGAATGATCGTTGGTTGGCCTTTGCCTGGGACGGCGTCCACTGCATCTTGAATGCTGGTGAAAGGGGCGGAGCCGTCTAGCGCAACACGTAGAGTAAAATGCCCCATCACCAAGTACGACGGTTGGTGCAAAACCTAATCACGGTCACTGCAATCTCGTGCTGGCGGAATATTTAGCTTTCGACAAGTGGACATACAAGAAAGACGATCGACGATCTGGGTAATCTGTGAATTCAGGAAGATGCTTGTGGTTCAGGGGGTACAAAAATAGGCCATCTTAGCAATCTAGTCATCGTTGTCCTCCAAGTCAATCAAGTTCACCAAAGCGCAACTACTTTCTCCCTCCCAATTGGCTGCCGCGAAGTCGAGTTTAGAAGCCAATCGACAGCCTCCTGCCTCTTGAAGCATGACATTTGCCCTCAAAGCCACCTTCACCGTGACAGACTCTGGAGTGTCCAAGTCCACCACTTCATGCGTTCCAGCAGACACCCATCTATCTGGTCCACCATGGACATTTTCACTTCTCACGAGCTTGCCTCCTCCTTCCTGTCCTCTTCCACGCATTCTACCAGGGCTGTCACCGTTACCCAGGTGAATCAAGTCAATGCAATCACTCACAGTCTTTCCGCCATTGCTTATCCCAACTGACTCAACTGTGGTCGTTGAATCCTGTTTGTCATTTCGCAGGGTGGTCAAGTTTGTCAAGTCAATAAATGGACCCCCTCTCCGTTGCTGAGCATTCTGTACTGCACTACTGTCCTGCACCCTGCTTCGCTTTCCCTTCTGCTGCTCCTTGGGCGGGTAGTCCTCCTGCTGCCAAACCCACAGCAGCCCATTCTCATTGCTTTTCACTGCTCCCCTGCTTCTGCTCTCCACAGGTTTCACATCTGCTTTCTGGCAGCGCTTCAGCATTCCCACTTCCAGCCTTCGCGCTTCAACCACATCCTCCTCATGGCTCGCACTCTCAACGATCTTCTTCATCTGATGCACCGCTCCCCTTGCTTGTATTTCATGATGTGCAGAGGATAGAGCAGCCTGGTCGCATTCGATCTGTTTGAACCTGGAGGGCAAGCCCAACTGATTATACAGGCTGGGCTCCAATCTGCCGGATGGCTCCCTCTCTTCCTCCAAATCAGCAAATCTACCCGCATCCGCACCGCTTCTCTCACCGCTGCTGCTGTCATTCGTTACTGAAAGCAGCAATGTACGTGACCGCTCTGTCACTGAATTATCTGTATGGACTGGTTGCCCTGCCACACCTTGAGACCGCTGGTACTCCGTCTCATCCTCCCAATTTGTATATCCGCCACATACATAATTTCTGGGTGCCTCTCCCAAACCAGTCATGAACTCACTCTTCTCCGTCGTTTCCTTCTCCTTCGCCCCCCGCGTTTCCGCTGCCTTCTTCTGCTGTCTCCCTCTGCCTTTCTTCCTTCCTGCTTCCTTCTCTGCTTCATATGCTTGTACCATTTCCGGATGAACTCTGCCAGTGCAACAACAAAGTTATTACATCTGGAAACATGGAGCACTCCTCAAGACAAGACAAAACAGACTACTGGCGACAAATCCAACACCAACCATTTACCTGGTGAGCAGTTCTGCCCGAACAACCGAGTTTTCAACTTCAGGCTGCCCGGTCCACGAAACTTCAAACATTCTATGTCCAGCCACCCACCGCTCCTTCACTATGCTGCCCACTCTGTACCTCACTCCATCCAGCATCCCCCCAACTTCATCCGATTGCCTGGAAGCTTCCTTCCCATGTGTCACGCAGATCTCTGCTGCCTGCTGCACCAGGTGCAACCGCCTGAGGTCTCGTTCTGCCAGCTTGGACCCAATGTATCGTGCTGAGTGTGATGGAGACAGGGGGCGGGGGCGGTTGGAGCGTGGCAGGGGGGGAAGAAGGGAAAGGATGGCATCTTGTTCTGATAACGTGAACCCAATGTACGATGCTGGGTTTAGTGGGAGTGGGCTTACTGGGGCCTGGCCATTGGGGTGGTTGGAGCATTGGAAGGGGGGGGGGGGGGGGGGGGGAGGGGGGGGGGGGGGGGGAGGGGGGTGAAGAAGTGAATGTTTGATGGTGATGGGGCGAGGGGGAATGAGCAGGGGGTTCAGAAGAAGAAGATCAGGCTCAAGAAGGTGAAGAAAGGTACAAGGGAAGTGAGAAATGCACGTGAGGGGATATGGTAAACATACAATATGGGATGGCATACGGACCTGTGACATCAGCAGGCCATGCCATGTGCCGGTCACAGAAAGCAACGATGTCAGCATGTGATGGGCTGCAGTGCTTCTGTAACGCACTGAACCATGCGCAGTGGGGTCACGGAGGGGAATGTAGATAACAATGGCAGGGATGGTGACAGGGAGGGAGGCTTGGAGCTTTTATGGAGATTGGGGGCCAGTCAACTTGTCACTTGAGTGGTGGCATCATATGCAGCATACAAGCATCAAAGGTTGCTGGCATTAGGATGGTTTTTCTGAACATACCTCGCCTGAACACCACACGCATATTGCAGGCACTCCAGCATATCTTGAATCACATCCTGGTCTCCACAAAAAGCAACGCAACACAACCATGCATGTAATGAATGCTCACCTCGTGACAGCACCTGATGCAGCGTCGTGACATGGTGGGTTCAGAAACGCCTCTACCACCCTCGCAGCATCCTCCCTCGCCTGCTCTTCCCCCTCCTCCTCCACCTCCCTCGCCCCTTGCTCACGCCCCCGTTCTCCTGCTGACGAATTCCCCTCTGCCCCACTGCTACTCCATGTACCAACACCAAAACCACTCATACCGCTCTCACTCAATCCCATTACACCTCCCCTGCCTCTCCCTTCCCCGACCCCAACTCCCGTCCTCCTCTGCTGTCCCTTCTTCCCTTGTGCCGCTGCGCCGGGTCCCACTCTTTTGCGAGCTCTGGGGACAGAAATGGCAGCCAGGCCTCTTTCTCTGATCGCTGCTAACACGCCATCTTCACCCAGTGCTGCCACCCTCTGCACCGCTCCTTGCTGGTAGGCAAAGTTGGGAAGAGAAGATGATAGAGAGGAAATCCGTGGTGAAATGCGGAATAGGAGTGGGGCTAGAGACTGGGATGGAAACGGTTAGGATGCGTGACGAGGTGCCCAGTGGTTACGACCCAAGGGGAATGAGTATCGCAGGGAAGTTACCCTGGCACGGAGTGTGGGAGCAGCAGCGACGCCCTGTGAGTAGTCTGAGCCTAGAAAAAGCCCCATGGCGATCTGAACAACAACGGGCCGAAAATTAGAGGGGAGAACAGAACGACTGAGACAAATTGAGCAGTGAGCGAGAGGAGTTGGGATCTAGCTTTAAGTTTGAGTGGTCGTGGCACAGCGTGGTGCGATTTGGCGTGGTACAGTGTGCAGAATAGCGCAACACGGTAGCACATCTCACGAGTGAGTTTCGGCCGAGGCTGAGCGAAGCTGTGATGTCTGCTGCAGTGTAGAGCACAGCCCAGTTGGCACCTGGCGTCAGAGAAGCAGGGAGGGCAGTGAACGCATGCACAGAGGGGTTTGGTCCAGGTACAAAGGAAAGGAAGAGGAGGACACAAGGTGTCTGCACAGCAACCATGTCTTTCCATCCTGGCCACACTCTCCCAGGATTCACGTGTGCAAGCAGGTGCCATGACCCAAGGCCATGGCTGCTCCCTTTCACCCCATTTCATTCTGGCACATGCCGGATCAACACATCACATTCTCCTCATACGTGCCTTTGTGCAGGCAGATATCACGAACCACGGCCTTGGCTCCAAACAGAAACGCGTCCGAGTCTCCCGTACACACCACATCCTGATGCAGTGGTGCATGTTTCAGGGTGGTGGTGATGGGATGAGTTTGGTGGGTGTGTGTGGGGGGAAGATGAGCAGAGAGAAAGGTAGCGGAGGGTTGTTATGTCCTTGTTTAATCAGATGAAAAGAACAAGTAGGGGCACAGGGGGAAGAAACGGAAGGGGAGTGAGGGTATGGGAGGGGAAGCCAGTTGAGGGGGGCAGAGAGAGTGAGAGAGGGCATGGTGAGAGAGTAGGCGAGCACTCACACAGACGCCAGATGCATTGAGCAGCGCGCACTGTGCCTCTGCCTCCTCGGGACTGGTTGTGGGAGTGCAGTGGAGGAGGGGAGGGGGAAAGGAGAGTGACGAGGGGATTAGAGGAAGCGGGACTAAGTGACAAGAAGAGGAGCACAGAGTCAAGTCTATGGAGCAAGCCCTGGCATACAACAACGGGAACTAGACATGTCCGTTTGGGTGCTATGGAAATCACACGGCTGCCAAAACAGTGATGTCTCACCCACAAAGCACAGTCATTTCCATAAAGCACACCCCCCCCACCTGTCGATGCACGGCACGCCCCATGCTGCTCCCAGCGCCTTCGCGTCCGCCACCATGCGCCCAAACTCCGTTCCCCTCCGCCTCTTCAGCGCGCCCTCAGGAGCGCGGGGGGGCTGGGGAAAGTAACGCGGAGGATTGGGGGGGAAGAGTGGGACGGGGAGAAGGGAAGGATGACGAGAAGGGGAAAGAGATATGCCGAGTGTTTGTGCCAATGTGCTGTATGGTGCATGGTGTATGGCGGATGATGTACATAAGAACAGCAGAGATGCTTGTGAGGAAAGAAACTGCTTGAGGGGAATGTTTTACCTTGCTAGTAGGTTGTGCGCCCGAGTCTGCACCAGTGGCCTCCGCTGAACCTGTGGCAATGGCTCTAGCGGAACCGGTGGCAGTGGCAGTGCCTCCACCCGCGCGGCGCCAGTGGGGGTGTGACGTGGCGGCATCGTCCGCCCTCCTCTGCTGGTACGTCGCGCGCTTGACAGCTGGCACGTCGCCATCTGACGTGGGAAACGCCGGGAGGCGGGGGTTTATGAGGGGAGTGCGACGGACGAGCGACGGTACAAGGGACGGTACAAGGGGGGTACAAGGCGTAAGATCAGGTCAAACGGCCTAAAGAACGGGCGAGGAGCTGCGGACAGGGAAGCGACTCAGCGGCGAACGAAATGGGAGAGGTACCCCGAGTGTGTCGCAGCCCATGCAACGGAAGAAGGAATAAGGAGCGGATATCTCTGTTACACCTGTAACGAAGATGACGTGGCAGTTGAGCGCTTTCAGCGCGCGTAGGCGGTGGAATATTCCGCGAAGGTGCGGCTTCTGATTGCTCTGGACGCCCGCCTGCGGTGGGCCGTTTTGGCAGCTAGCGGCGAACTGAACGATCCAATAGGAGAGATCCACGCAGATGGTCTTGTTCCTGCGCGCACAACGTCGGTATTTTCGAGGCTCGCGAGGAATTAGCCTAGACTCAAGCACGCGGCTAAGCGCTGAATGCGGAGAGAGGAACGAGGTCATTGACAAGCAAGCTGTACTCGTCAGGTCTTACTCGAGATCTTCGAGCGGAATGGTTTGCCTCGCCGGCTCGAGAAGCGACCAGAGGCTTTTAACTCCCATGTTCCGGCGACAACTACGGACGCGTCGATGGAGGAAACCCCTGAGGCGTCTACTTCTTAGGCGGCACAAAGACAAGCATCAATGGAAGGAAATTTCGAGGTTTCGAGGACGGCCGCTGGCAGTGACAGAGTTTCTACAGGGGCAAAGTAGGCGGAGAAGCGTTTGCGGTTGGTACGTCAGAGGAAGTAGTCAGTATCGTGGATGTGTTGAGATTAGTGCGACTGTCTGTCCGTTCGTGCTGTGGTGTTGAGGTGGATTAGTGGGTTGGTTGTGGCGGTGGATGAATGAGAGGTGGGCGGAGCGCGTTTGAAAAATAGTGGCAGAGGGGAGGGTGTTGATTGTGTCAGAAGGGGCGTTTGGCGCGAGTCGGTGCGATTGGTTGTGTGGAAATTAGGAAATTTCTGCAATTCTGTCACAGAGTATCCCGCGAGTTGTGTTGCTGATCATACAGTACGGTTCAGTATGTGTTTCTGTAAGGAAATTTCTCTCTATTCCTTACTGAGGCCATCAACATCACGTACGGCCGCAACCGACGTTCGCCCGTTACTGCTAACGGGGCTTCGCCAACTTCGCGCGCACTGTTTCACCAAACCTCGCACTGCTGGAGCAGCCGATTCGGCCTACTCTTCGGGACTAGCCCGAACCTCGCGCCAGTGTAGCACTAGCTAGCTCGCACGCACCGCGTTACCGTTTGCATGTTTCGCGTATAAGTATTCGCTCATGCCTTCGCTCATATTTTGTACTCGTTGAACACTCTAGTGCAATCTTCGCTACCTCGATTCATTGCACCCGTAACATTTTCCAAGGTTTAAGACGGTAAAATACTGATTTACTACTCTTTGGACCGCGAAGCACCAGACAAAACTGTGGTACAGAGTTTGCCTGGGACTGAGTTAGCGAATACTTGCGAGTCATGCGAGCCACTAGCACTTCGTCTAGAATTCGCAGCACAGGGCACGCTCTCGCTAACAACCTCATGTGCCACACACACAGAGGTGGAACCAGATGGAGGTGAAAAATGGGGATGTCGCAAACCGCTTGTGATGCCACACCAGAGTAGACCACACCAGACCGCTTGTGATGTCATTATCCACGCCGTTTTCTCCATATCCAACTCCCCAACAGCTACCGTAGCATAGTCGATGTACTTGGGGTGAGGACGAGGTATATGACGCTCGCGGGTCAATGCCAATGGTAGGGAGGAAGGTGTGGAGGTACTTGCCGCCGCGGTTAGTGGCACCTCCATGTCATTCTCAACGCTCTCCTCGTTGTTCTCTCCCCCTCCATTTTCGGCTTCCCTTTCCAATTGCAGTGGAACTTCACTCTCTTCAACCTCCTCTCGTGGCGGAAGGATGAAGGTGAGTTGTTGAGTGGGTTTCTCCTTTGACGGGAACTTGTCTTCATCGAAGACCACGTCCCGAGACGTGACGACGCGGTTTTCACCCAAGTCCCACACTCGCCATGCATGCTCGTTTGGCGCAATTCCCAAGAAGATTGCCGCACGAGCCTTCGGTTGCAACTTGTGGCGAACGGGATCCGGTACATGATAGTAGCAAAGGCACCCGAAGGTGCGTAGGAGGGAAAGGTTCGGCTTCGTTCCGGTCCAAGCTTCGAACGGAGTCATTCCCGGCAGCACCTTCGTCAACAAACGGTTACGAATCCATGCCGCTAGCGCACTTGCCTCTCCCCACCACTTGTTTCCAAGCTTGGAGTGTTGAAGTAGTGAACGAACGGCTTCCACCAACGTACGATTAAGCCGCTCCGCCACTCCATTTTGTTGGGGTGTGTAGGGTGTTGTGACGTCGTGCTTTATGCCCTTGCTCTTCATCCATTTTGCAAGCTCGTTGTTCACGAAATTCGCCGCCACCGTCGGTGCGAATAGCCTTGATCCGCTTCTTTTCGTCGTCGCAAACTTCGAGCGCCCACTCTTGAATCGCATTGGCCCCATCTCCCTTAGCCTTCAAGAGCCGGGTCCAACACATCCGTGTCGCGTCGTCTAGCATCACCAAGAGGATATGCGCTCCTCCCTTTGATGCATGCCGCATCGGTCCACACACGTCCATGTGAACAAGCGCAAGTGGGTCCTTAGCGAGGGGTGAGGTACGGCTACCAAATGGCTTGCGAGCCCTTTTTCCTTCAACACACACCGCGCACACGCCCTTCTCGTCGTCGCCGGCGATCACGTCGACTCCCTTCGCAAGTCCTTTGTTGGCCAACTCCTTGACCGACTCGTAGTTGGTGAGGAGTGACGCCGAGTGCGTCATGTGTTGTGTTGCGCCGGTGTCGAAGAACCACGCGTCGCTTGGTGTTTTGTTCCCGTTTCCGGCCAATAACACGAGCGACTCCTTTGAATCATCCGCCTCGCCGGATGCCGAGTGCGTGTTGCCCTCTTGGTTCCGCGCCATCGATGGAGTCCAATCGCTCGGGCGCTTCCGACACGCTCGCCAAAAGTGTCCCGATTTGCCACAATAGTGGCACTTGCCGTGATGCTCGCTCCCATCGGACGATTCCTTCGTCGAACCCTTGCTCCACTTGGACTTCTTTCCGGAACTCCCTCCAGAGTACATGGCGGTCCCCACACTCGCATTAGCGAATTGTCGACGACGCGATTCCTCATGGAGAAGCCGACTGACCACCATTTCCTTTGTCCAAGTGTCTTGCACGCTATCGAGTGTCGTAATCAACGTCGACCACTCTTTCGGAAAAAATCCAATCCTCCTCCGTGACCGTTCCACCAAGGTCCATGAACGTTTCCCTGAGTTCCTCCACACGAGTCGCATACTCGTGCATCGATTCGCCCTCGCGACACTTCACTGTGAAGAACGCGTTCCGGGCTAGGATCTTGCTGTGGAGAGTCTTGTTCACGTGGATGGTCTCGAGCCGCTTCCATGCTTCATGCGCCGACGCTAGGAGCTTGATGCACGTACGCACCGCGCTCACGAGATTGATGCCGATGCGCGAAATCAACGTAGCGAACGCCTTTTGGTCCTTCTTCTTCCATGTCGCGATGTCGCTCTCGTCGTCCGGCCTCTTCTCCGTTCCATCGAAGAAACCCCAAAGTCCCCACTCCATCATGAGCACTTGGAACTTAAACTTCCACGCGGAGTAGTTTTGTCCCGTGAAAATCGGTACCGCCGATGTGTCGAACATCGTCGCGGTTATCCAGGGTTTGCCAGAATTGACAACGACACCATCCAAGGAAGTGCGGGAGGCCTCGCTTGACGTCACCGTGCTAGCTACTCGTCGCGCACGTAGACTCCTTCGACCAGCTCTGATACCACTGTTTTAGAGGACTCTCCTCTTGTTTGCAGGAACTGGGAGTTGTTCTAATTAGTAGAGCACTGTCTTAGATTTCCAACGGGCCGTAGATCACCTTGATCGCCCAAGTATCGAGCGAGATATGGCTATTAACGTGAAAGCTATGCTCTATGTTGAAGGATTGGAACCTCTCTGGAATTTGTGTCGAGTTGCACTGTGTACAAAGTGATTCACGCTTTCCAGTATAAAACAAATTTATAGCTACTCAACACATCGAGTCGCGCATGTAACATCTAGTCACTACGAGATGCATCGCGAACATTCGTGTAACAATTCGAAGGGGTGAAATTCGGCACCCGGATTTCACCGAACCGAATTCTTCCTCAATCTTGATTCTTCTTGTGTTGCCATGTGGCACCAATTGAGTTGGTCTTCCGAAGTCAACCCACACACTTCGAAACCTGCAGCTCACGCAAATCGCAAGCACTAGAAGAAACACATTCGGTGGGTTGGGGGCATACAACTACCCCACCACCGTTTTCTTTGAACACACTCGACCTCCACATCACACAACTCGTGAGAACTAGAAGAAACACAGTCGGTGGGTTGGGGGCATACAACCACCCCATCACCTCTTGCTTCCAACACATGCGACTTCCAACAAATATTGAGAATAGCTACATTACTTCGTGTAGTGTAACATTTCACTTGGTGTAGGCACTTGTGAAGGGTAGTTTCGAGACCCTTCGTGGTTGGGGATAGTGTGGCACTGTTCCACATCACTGTACCTCGGCTTTTGGGGTTTCTAGGAGTTGGGAGTCATTCCCAACTCGTAACTCTTCCTAATTTGTGTTCTAAGACTATAGTTACATTGAGAGTGCCGTTCGTTCAAACCGACGTTGTGTCGTTAATACTTAGTGAAATCGTGCGATCTAATTTGTCTATTGTAGGAGACGTTACGACGCTCTAGATCCAAGTTGAATCATGTCATTTGAAGCTGTGAACAGAACACTATGAACGTTTAAAGCCGCTGTGCAGAAATCTGCCAGTGCACTCTATCTTTCGTTTTAGACACATTCAAGCCTATTGTGACTATAACAAGTGGTATCAGAGCGCCTTGGAGCATCTAAGACGATGGCTGGACCTGAAGAAAGGGGTGACAGAGGTGCTGGAGGCAGTGGAGGACCCCAAGCACAAGGTCAACCCCGTGATTCAGCCATGGCGCCCGTGCAACCTACTCTTGGAACTTCTAGGGATGAACCAAGAGTGTTCGGGCTTGACAAGTTCAACGGCGATAACTTTGCTGAATGGTCCTTCAGAATGGAGAACGT